TCTGACTACATACCTAAAATAGAGGAAAGCATATTCTCCAGCTCCCTGCTGATAGTTTATTTTCAATGCCCCCAATACTTAGTTACTGCGTAAGAAGTGGATATTAGGCAAACAAGTATGTTTAAAAGTATGGGTCAAAAGTCCCTTACAGAGAAGTGCAGCATCAGAAAAGGTGTGTATTATCAGCAAACAATTCTCACTGTCCCAGAGCTTTAAAGTTAAGACTGATTACATTGTACTTCTATACTATAGGAATAGGGCAGGCTGGGAAGAGAGCGGCTAATTAAAACAAGAAAGGCTGTGTGAGAAGAGGAAAGTGCCTTCACATCACACTCAGAAAAAAAGGATTCTCTATACATTTGTAACGGTGTTGACCAAAGAGAAGGAGTCCTTCTCTGCATGCTTGTAGCAAAGAGCAATCTGCATTCCACCCTTCTAAACTTTGCACTTCTCCCTTTTCCAGTCTCTGGGTCAAATCGGCTCAGCATAGCTGAAAGACATTTGCTCACCAGTGAGAAATAATTTATTGCACCAGAGGAAATTGCTCTACTACTTGTCCTGATACTATTGGCTATTAGCACTTTCAGAGTGCTCTTAAAAACATTAGAAACAGTGAAATTTCTAATAGGATGGCATAAAATACTGTCTGAATCCACAGAGTGCACTTCATGTTCCATCTGAAATGTTTGTCTCTAGTTCTATCTTCATTTGGGCCAACTGCTGTTTTCAGCTGCACCTGTAGCACAGCTCTTGAACCTGCAAGCTGGCAGAAATGCAGTTATACAGTTTAGGAATGAACTCTGCCTTTAGTTTGGTAAATGCCATCAAAATGTCATAGAATCATAGAATGGTTTGGGTTGGAAGGGACCTTAAAGATCACCTAGTTCCAACCCCCCTGCCATGGGCAGGGACACCACTAGACCACGTTGCCCACAGCCCCATCCAACCTGGCCTTGAACACTTCCAGGGATGAGGCAGCCACAACTTCTCTGGGCCACCTGTTCCAGTGCCTCACCACCCTCA